AGTTATATTCAACATGGCGTAAAGAGAATGGTGTGTGCATACCGCTGCAGTTGGCACAGCCTCGAGCGGAAGGGGTACGACGTCACTAACTGAAACATGCCCAAAAGGGGTAAACGTCAACATGCTTGTGTGCCACGTTCAATTTACGCCATGATATTCAATACGAGATCTATCAATAACCGGAAAAAGAGTTTTATGTTAAATTATAGTCATTCAAAAAGAGTTGTAAACTACACTTCAAATATGCCAAATTTAAAATTAAAAAAAAGTTTAAAGACCCTTTTTTTTTAATTACGATTCTTTCACGGAACACCTATTCACATCCTGTGAAACACCAGTGTTCCGCGGAACAGTTTGGGAAACGCTGTGTTAGAGTGATCCAGAAGTTCACATTTGTTACTGGTTTGGTGAAATCTAATTGTAGCACTTACCACCAGTTTGGGATGTCTGCCCTCACGGAACCACTCACAGCTGTGAGCCACTCCAGACAGTGTGACACCCCCACACCGTGTTTTACATAGGCCACTGAACAACCATCAAGTGGAAATGACTTTGAGTCCATAGCAACCTTTGTGAAATTTGAACTGGTGGTTTACAGGCTCCATCTCACATTCCAGTCCCTTGAGCCATTATTCATTTTGAGGTTGTGCCAGATATCTATTTGGGTTACATCTACAGCTCCTGGAACCGATAGAAAATTAGTTAGGCTTAATAAACTTCATGCTTGGCTTGCTATTGCTGCTGTGTATCAAAAGGAAAACTAATTTCCTGGTTAATTCTGGAAGCATCTAGGAACTAATACTGGCCTTATATCTGTTAAGATGATCGTGGGAAGTGCATGGAAAATATTTTCTATTACAGGTGAAGCCTAGTGTCTATGGTTTGACTTATCAGATCTTATTACAACAATGCAAAATGCTCCACTTACTGAACCTTTTTATTATGCCTCTGTATGGTGCCAAAATACTAGTACTTCACACTTGTTCTCTTCATCTGAAGATTGCCATGCCCTTTTTAACAGTGGAGTAAATATTTTTATTCCTGTTTTACAGATAGGGAAACTAAGGCACAGAGAAGTTAAGTAACTTGTCCAAGATCACATGCCAAATCAGTGGAAACAGAGCCCTTCCTAATCGTTAGACTGTACTCCATCCTCATGAACTGCTAATGTGTTCTTACGTGTTAACTGTGTCCCTTGGGGCACTGCTTTTTGAACCTTCTAAAAGACAATGTCCACACTGGCAACAGAACCATGCTAGCTACAAGTTTAGACTGTGTTCATAAACAGCTTGCAGCGTTTCCCTCACCAGAATGGAGGATTGCTTTTTCTGAGCACTGTTTGCAAATGACATGACTGCCCATCGTCCCTCCCGCCATCCCAAACACCTCCCGCTCCACAAGGTCTGTAATACACCTCTTGGGCAAAAAAATCCTTGACCTCATTGGTCAGGAAAACCATTCCAGAGCCTCACTAGTAACAACTCAGTTTAAAATGGACACATTGCCTTAAAAATTACAACTACAAACGGAACAGCCGAAAGTCTATTTCTTGTTGACTTGCCTGTCAAGCCTTGAGTTTAGGGCTACCCTACTCAGAATGGCAAACTGGGGATCCTGACTTTGGTTCTATTCCTGGCTCTGTCACTGGCTCACTGTGTGATACTGGGTAAGTCACTGAATCTCTCTAGGCCTCAGCTTTCTCATCTATAAAATGGGGATAATCATATCAACTCACCTTGCAGGGATCTCATGATTAATGTTTTCTAAACATCTAGGCTGTTTGGGACAGGGACCGTCTTTTTGTCCTGAGTTTGTACAGCACCTAGCACAATGGTGTCCTGGACTATGACTGGGGCTATGGTAATATAAATAAGAAAGCTTTTTAAGATCCTCAACTGTCTTTTTATTATTTTATATGTGCAAAGTCTATATAAACTGGGGTCTTGGCAAGTAAAGAGCCTTTCCATTCAGCTTTAAATTGTACCTGAGTCATAAATTTTAATTTACACTTGTATTGTGCTAATGAGCTGGGATCTCAAAAGAATCCTAATTCTTTTGAAGAGCCTGGAACAAGGCCTGAAACCAGGTGCTCTGACACAGTGACGTGCAGTGAAATTTTTGAAAGCACGCATTGACTTTTTGGGGGGAGGCTATGCTCCCTAACTATTCAACATTCCCCTGATGTGCCCAAGTCCACAGACTACGTCCAGTGCTGCATTCTATGTGCAGTGACATTTTACAAAAAAATAATATTAAGCACTGGGCTGGAGTCCAACATGTTCTGAAGATGATTTTTTCATTGGATATGTTTCTGCTTTGGGTCAATGGCTGATTTATTTCCTATTTCTAAACACTCTGTTCCAGATATTTCCTTCGAAGATGAAAGTTTGTTCCACCAGCTCATTAGTTCACCCATTCTGATTTCAGTGGAAGAGCGAAGAAATATACAGATTGTTGAAGCTGAACATAAGAATGGGTCTAACCTATGGTCCATATCGTCCAGTCACAGCTTCTGGCTGTCAGAGATTTAGGGACACCTAGAGGATGGGGTTGTGTCCCTGACCATCCATGAACCTATCTAATTATTTTTTGAACCCAGTTATACCTTTGGCCTTCACAACATCCCCTGGCAACAAGTTCCACACGTTCACTGTGCGTTGCATGAAGAAGCACTTCCTTATGTTTGTTTTAAACGCACTGCCTATTAATTTCATTGGATGTCTCCTGGTTCTTATATTATGTGAAGGGGTCAATAGCGCTTTCGTATTCACTTTCTCTACACCATTCATGATTTTATAGATTTCTGTCATAGCGCTCCCACACCCACCCCCTTGGTTGTCTCTTTTTTTAAGCTGAACAGTCACAGTCTTTTAAATCTCTCTTCATATGGCAGCTGTTCCATACTCCTAATCATTTTTGTTGCCCTTAAATCTATAAATTTACCATTTATTCCTACTGTTTGCTTCCTATCTTTTAACCAGTTCTAATGTATCTTTTTCAAAATGGAGTGACCCGAACTGCACACTGTATTCAGTGTGGCTGTACCATGGATTTATATAGTGGCAATATGATATTTTCTGTCTTATTATCTATCCCTTTCCTAATGGTTCTTAACATCCTGTTAGCTTTTTCGCTGCCGCTGCACATTGAGCAGATGTTTTCAGAGAACTACCCACAATGACTCTAAGATCTCTTTCTTGAGTGGTAACAGTTAATTTGTATAGTTAGGATTATATTTCCCAATGTGCATTATATTGCATTTATCAACATTGAATTTCATCTGCCATTTTCTTGCCAAGTCACCCAATTTTGTGAAATTCCCTTTGTAACTCTTTGAGTCAACTTTGGACTTAACTAGCTTGAGTAATTTTGTATCATCTGCAAACTATGTAACCTGTTTACCCCTTTTTCCAGACCATTTATGAATATGTTTAATAGCACTGGTCCCAGTATTGATCATTGCAGGACCTTGCTATCTACCTTTCTCCACTGTGAAAATTTACCATTTATTCCTACTGTTTGCTTCCTATCTTTTAACCAGTTACTGATCCATGAGAGCACCTTCCCTCTTATCCCATGACTGATTATTTTGCTTAAGAACTTTTGGTGAGGGACCTTGTCACAGGCTTGTCTTCCTTGAGTGCTCCTTTAGCACCTTGATCATCGAGTGGCCCCAAGACTGTTTGGCAGGCTTCCTCCTTCTGATGAATTTTTTGGTAGTTCAAAAAAAAAAAGCAAATATGCTGATAAGGGAGGTGGAAGATTATTTCAAAAGTCTGATTCCCTGCTTAAGTTATCTAATTGCCTTCTCAATGGTGTCATATCAATGTGGTGCTGTGATAAAATTCAACTTTTGATAATTAATGATTACATTCCTCCTCCCTGAATTCCCTGTGCAGTTTCATATGGCAATAGTGCTCTTCCCCACTTCTCACCCTAAATTGTTCTGCAATGTGGCTGTGTCCTGTTAAGTAAATGTTGTGTTCCTCCCCAGGGGTGGCTGTTTCTCAGTGGTGGCTGAAGTAGGTTGGGTAGACCCATCACACAGATATTGTAAACTTGCTACCAGTCCATTCCCAGATCTAATTTCAAAGTTAAGTTCCACATCTTTAAAGCCCACAATGGTCTATGGCTTGGTTAAGTCAGAATGCCTGTCACTGTGCTCTCTACCATATCATTCTAGGAAGCTGTGGCTGACAGAGCCCAGGGTCTGATGTGTTGGGGCAAGGGACAGGTTCTGTGTGTGTCTGTGTCCATCCAGGGGGAGGGTCCCTAGCCACAGAACTCCCTACCACAGAAGATCATAATTACTCCCATTTTACAGATAGTGAAGCTGAGGTACAAAGTGACTTGCTTAAAATAATTAAAACTCATGATTCAAATTCAGGCTCTCAGTCCTGTGCTTAGCTCACACCATTCTCTCCATGGAGCTAACCCTCCTTCTCCCGCCCCACTCCCTTCAAGGACTCTGCTGACTCAGAATGCTCTGACAAGCTGACAGGAGAGACTGGGTGCAGATTACCATTTTGGCTTCCTCCACTGGAGTCACTTGGTGCTAGGGGAGGGGGATGCGACTTCTCCATCAGCACAACAGGAGATGGCACGCCAGCTCCCGGAACAGTGGGGATGTAGTAAGGACCTGGGATGGAGGTGACAGCAGATGGGTATCCAGCTTTTGCAGCCTTGCCCGCTTCATACACTGAAAAGAGAGCAATAATTAGCAACCAAGTGCCAGCCCTTCCCCTCCAAGGTGCTCCAAAACAGCACTCCTGCTGCTGCTCCTGCTTCGGATTTTGGTGACTGCCCAGCAGGAGGCGTCTGGTGTGTTATGAATGGAACTCAAGAGCCGGTGGATTTCTCTGAGCTTAAAAGGAGTTCCAAAAATGGTAAGGGGCAGCTTATTCTCTGCTGAAGGCCCTCAAAAGCCTGGTTAGTCAAGGGCATTCAGCACATAAATCTAGGCTCCACTCAATTTCTTGTTTGGGTTTGTAGCAGTTCATCCTGAAAACCAGAATGGGACTCTCAAGAGGCAAGCTTACTCCAAAGGCTCATGAACCTCAGCAAACCTGGCCTGAGGTTTGGGTTTGCAATGGAACCTGGCTTTGTTGCAGGTGTTTTGCATGACTCTAGTAGGCAGCTGCTTTGCAACGTGGGAAAGACACATACCAGAATGCTCTCTGCTCTGCAGCCACAGCACTTTCTACCAAACATACCTGACAGGACTGCAGCTTCGGGATGGGGAATGTGACACTAGAGGAGCAGGCACAGTTGCCAGCACCTCGCTGGCAGGAAACTTCTGGAATTACATTCTTAATTAACTCAGAGCATTTGGCCATTAAACTATAGGTTGGGTGCTTCATTCTTAGTAACAGGCAATCTTTAGTCAAGTGGGGCACTCAGGTTGGGGAAGGGTATGAGCAGATTTCCCTCACACATAGCAAAAGGGATGTGGGAGGAAACTTCGCACTTTGGTCCCTGCTTCGCACTTTGGTCCCAAATCACTCACATGCCCGTGGACAGCAGCAGGAATCTGGACAGCAGGGGCAGCGGACGTAGCAGCAGCAGCTATGTGGGCAGCACTGGCACCAGCAGATCCCAACCAGGAGAAAAAACAGGAAAGCCCCCAGGATCACCAGGCCCACAAACACCCACTCTGGAAACCAAATGAGAACAAATGGTCAAAGGACACAACACCTGTGAAAGACAATGGCAAGGTCTCCAGCCGGAGGGGTAGGGAGAGAACAGGCATGAGGGCTAATAGAAGGAGCAGGATCTCTCCTGGTGAGAAGTAAGGAGACAATAGGTCCCTCCTACACTCTACACTGCAATCAGAGGTGTGATTGCAACATGTGTAGATATACTCAAGCTGGTTGTCATCTAGCTAGCTCGAAGAACAGCAGCAGTGAAGCTGTGGCAGCACGGCTGTACAAGCCCAACCAGGACCCTGGGTACGTACTCGAGTGGCTAGCCCGTGCTACCACAGCTTCACTACTGCTGTTATTCAAGCTAGCTTGGGTACGTCTACATGTCCTGCAGTCACATCTCGGAGACAGAGGGTGAGAGGCATGGAGACAGGCTCCCTCTCACTGTGCTGGACAGAGGAGGTGCTGGGGGGTGAACAGTATGGAGGCACTAGCCCTACTCTGTTCTTGTGGGACAGAATCAATCCCCTTTGGAGGGTTAGAGGCAGAGCTAGACAAATATCATAAAACATGTTACACAAACATTTGTTTTCCCCAGCTGCGTTTGTGCCCTGTTTGTGCATGCTCTACCCCAGCATTCTAGTTTTAATTACACAAATGGTGGCAGAAACACACTATAAATAGCCCGGTAAATGAACCAAACAAGGCTCTGCCTGCCCCTTCACTACTAGGCCCACGCACACAATTATTATTGTGAATGTACTTGGAGAATATTACATTCAGTGCTGCATCCAGCCAGGAAATCTGACAGCAGCCACATTTTTCTACCATCGATGCCTCAGGAGAACTTCATGTGGCCCAGAAAGTAAAAGGCTAAAAATGTGCTAACATTCCCTAATCTCCCTTATCCATCCCTCTCTAAGAAACTTAAAGGCACAGTGGGCTTTTTCAAGTCCTCATCCTTTTTAAAGGAATGACATTCATCCAGTCAAGGAAAAGAAACAATATTACATGACACAGGCAACCAATTGCAGCTCAGCAATACAGCTCAAATTTAAAATCTCTAACAGCAGTTGCCCTCAGTGTTTCACAATCAAGCCATAAAGAAAAAAAAAGCCTGTGGGGAAAAAACTCACCAAATCAATGTGAGAAGACTGGGATCTGCCTGCAGACATTCCAGGAGCAGGAAAAGAGGCTAATATTTTATTTAGGTTGCAACTCAGCCCTAGCAAGTGGGTGTTTGGAGTCAGTGCTCCTGTCACAGGGGCCTTGGAGTTATAGGGAGGTCTTTGCTGCGTACCAAGTTAGGGTCTTGCTTAAGTAATAAGTATAAGGAAATAGCAAAAGATGCTGCTGGATCCATAACAGACACAAATCAAGGCATTTTTCCAGTGAAAAGTGTGATTCCATAATCCTTTTCCTGATACAGCCAGTGTTATTTCCTCACACAGCAGTTCTGAATATGATCAAATTCATATAAACATTAAGGTTACTGTGGTTACCATGTCTGAGTTGCTTAGTGTCCTCACAATCAGGAAACCTCTCCATAAGTTGTGTGTGTGTTTCTCCACTGCCTTCCAGCTGTTTTTGTCACTTAAACCTGTGCAAAGCAGGTATAAAAAGCTACCTAATGAATATGCTAGCATTTTACATCCACTTTGCACAGGTGTAAATGGTGACAAAAGGTGCAAGGAATTGGAGAATCAAGCCTTGTTGAGTATATTTGTTGAAAAGACTCCTCCTACTACACTGAATCCTCTGCTGGCTCTAATGTTATGGCTAACATTAGGGGTCTTTACCCTCCTTTCCATGTGTGTGTCTGGGACAGATTATTCCCCCTTCATGTGTACTTAGAGCTGCTCTGATGTATGAAAGTGGGTATGAGAAATCTATTTTGTGGAGAGAGACACACTTTGGTTTAGTGCCCTCAGGCTACAGTCATTTCACACGTACCCAGAGCCGAATGCTTTCTCATCTCTTCCCTCTGAAAGACCATCTGATATAGAATCTTGGACTACTAGAACCTCTATGGGGTTGGGAAATGCTTAAAAGTGGGATCCCATTAGTTTGGATAGTAAGGGATTTGTGCAGTCCAGAAAATCCTCAGGCCCCACCCCAACTATCTGGCTGTAGCTAGATCCCCCAATAACGTAGCGTTGCTGCACAGAACAGCTCCCACAGCCAGGTTTGGCTTAGTATCCCTCCTTTAGCAGGGGTGCCACATATGTGCAACCTTTGGTGGCTGATTTTCATAACAATATCCCATAATATAAAGTTAGGCCTTTGAAGAGTACTTCTTGAGGGCATACAGGGGTGCATCCACACTGTACTTTGTAGACATACAAGGGTGCCAAGATATTACAGTATGGTTAAAACGGAGTTGCCACAATCATGGTGGTGTGTGAGCACACAGGCATACAGCTTGATATAAAACCTCCTGTAAATAGACTTTTCCATTCTAGTGCTGGGCCTGTCTCTCTCCGCTATTTCTGTCTTTTGCATCCCTGTGTTACAGCCCCTCCCTATCCCCAGCATGAGGTTTAATATTTCTCAGTGCAATATGCACTTCCAACAAGCGACAGTTTATCACAGAATACAGGAGACGCACACAAGTAAGAAGGAAATTAATGTGCACTGCAGCAGAGGGATGGACAAACAAGGTGAGAGAGAGAGTGCGTCAATAAAGGGTTAAATGACTGAATACCTGGCATAATCTCCGCAGCAAAACTGGGCAAGAGATCAGCAAGCAGCCCTGTCCTGCCTAGAAAAGACAGAAGGAGGAGAACATGGAGAGAGGTTACTGCAGGAAAAACACACTCCCCAGCCCCTGCCTGAGCTTTCAGCCCCCTTCCTCAACATGGGATCGACCCACATATGCTCTGTGAAGTGAACTATATGGTTCAGGGATTTCGTCACCTCCATAGTAATTGGCCCTGCTCAATGCATGGTGGCTGTCTATGTATCTGTCTGGCCTTGATTTGACCAACTGGGCTGGGGGGGAGGGAGAGAGTCAGGAATGGAGCCCCTCCAATCTAGGCAGAGGCTTGCAAGAAGGGGGTCCGTGCAGCATGATTACAAGGTGAGGCCTGCAGGGTATTGTTCTACACGCACGCACACTACACGTAGGCATGCACACTCACACTCAAACACACTCATCTGGGGGCTTGAGTGATTCAATTTTTAAAGAATCATTTTACTGGCATAAAAAAGAGAGAGCGTGCAAAAGACCGCAGCTGTCTGGATTAGAAAAGTGTTGACCCCAATGACCCCTACAAGTAAGCTACATACATACAGCACATGTACGTGTGATGTTTTTCCATATGGGACACTGCAGCTGCACAGACAGGTTCACAAGAGATGCCATAATGTAGGGTTACCATACCTCATAAATAAAAAAAGAGGACCCTCCACGGGCCCTGGCCCCGCCCATTTCCCCCACCCCTAGTCCCACCCAACTCCGCCCC